ATTAAGACTGTACTAATGCCACAGAACTATACACTTAAAAATGGCTAAAATGGTAAATTTTGTTATGTATATTTTACTAAAAAATTTTAAAAACATATAGATATAATGAAGTCCCTCTCCCTATCACTTCCAGCCTCCTGCTCTCTAGGACTTAGTCTCAGGATCCTGTTTCCCACTTTTTAATCATCTTGGCTGATTTGGATCATTTAAAACCCTTCTTCTGTGGATTTTTGCCCAGCAGCGCCTGGCACAGACCAAGGAGCTGGATGCAGGAGAGAGCACGGGAGGGATGAGTTTTTAAAAAGGATTTTCAAAAAACTGTCATTGAAGGTCAGTTTTTGAAAATAGCCTGGAGAACCTCTAGCAATGTTAAAGTAGTCACCAGAGCGACTCTGGAGCCAGCCTGCTTGGATTTAAATAATGACCCCTCCCCTAGTTTATCAGCTGCGTGACCCTGGGCAAGTTATGCAGCCTCTCTGTGTCTCAGTTTCTTCATCTATAAAATGAAGGTGCTGACGCTACCGACCACACAGGAAGACACCGTACAGCGGTGAGGTTTAAATGTGTTCATAGATGTGAAGCTTAGAACAGTGCCTGGTACCTAATGAACCCTGAATGAGAGTTTGCTATTAATGTCACCTGGATTCAGGCAGATTCAAACTTCTGCTTGAATGCCTCCTGGGATAGAGAACTCACTCCCACAGGGCAGCCTGTTCCCCTGTTAGAAGGTTGGGTGTGGTAGAAAGCTTTTCCCTCCTTTAACCTGTCTCTTCCTGATGAGAGCCCTGGCCCGGCCCTCTGAGGCCAGCCACGAAGACACACGTCAACCAAAGCAAAATGAGCCCTGCTTGGTGCTGTGCTTTCTCCTTTGTCCAAGCTGATCCTCCTCTGGGGTCCTGAAGCTCACACAGCCCAGAATGCAGGTATCTGTCCCTGTTCAGTACTCAGCAACCAAAGGGTGTTGTTCACTGGCCTTGGACACCTGTCAGGGCCTGTCCCCACTGGTCCCAGCTGAGTTCCATGGGCCAGTTCCAAAATGTCCTCTTGCTGGTTCCTGAGTCTCCACCTCCCAGGCTTCACAGGGGAGGCAGCTGCTGTTGTCCAGGGCCAGCCCCCATCTTTCTGTAGCCCCTCCCTTCTCACATGAGGGAAACACAAGTGAATCTTACTGCTCAGAACATGTCTAGAAAGGAAAAAGAGGTCGCCCCTCTAACCAGGGCAGTCCATCCCTTTGAAAATCACTGAGATCAACTAAGTGGTGTCCCAGCACTTTACAATGAATTTGCTAGCACATTCCAGGAGGCTTGGCGCGGTTAGTTCCGGAATGAAAGCTGGCTCCACGCCTTCCTACCTGTGAAGCCTTAGGCAGTTTCCTCATATGTAAAATAGGGATAATAACAATAGTTGCTGTCTTGTAGGCTGGAGTGAAAAGAGTTGACTCTCAGCTCCGTGCCTGGCACAAAGGAAGTGCTTAATAAACGGGGACAGTTATGGGAAGAGAGGCTGAGGCGGGCCCAGGACTTCCAACTTAAAATCTGGAAGGATTCTTTAGTCTGTCGCTTCATTTCATAGAAAAACTGAGGCTCAGAGATGAGAGGTCCAAAAGTCACACAGCAATTGAGCTACCACTGGAACCAATACCAGGTGAGCAGCCTCCCGAGGCTCCTTCTCGCGAGTTCCGGACCCTTGCCCTCACGGAACACTATGCGCACGCCTTCCCCTTCTGTACAGGAGAGCTCGGGGGTGGGTGAGCCTGGGTGACCCGAGGCTGGGGCGGTCTAGTCGCCCTGCCCCACTCCTTTCGCCTCTCCAGGAGCCCCCTAGCCGTATGAGGCAGCACCTGTTGCATCCCCTGTAGTTACGGATTATGGCCGCTGGGTGTCGCCACCCAGCAGGAAAACGAAAAAACAAAAAAAAGGATAGTACCGGGAGGCTCGCCTCTGGTCTACATAATGGGAGAATGGGAGGGCCTCCGCCTCTGGAATTCCTGCCCAAATCTTTGGTGGCCTCCAGCCCAGGCCTCCCCCAACAGCTCAAGAGCTTCCCTCACAGCGATACGGGACGATTTCAAACCTTTCACCACCCTGCTAAAAGGAAAACCTGGCCACAGCCCCCCTGGAGGCTGCCTACCCCTGCTGAGCCCAACTCCTCTTCATTACAGTGCCCCGGCCACATGGGTCCGGTCACCCCTGCTCGCAGCAGGCCAGGCCTCCCCACCTTTGCGCTTGCTGGGCCTTGCAGATGGAGTGCCCTCGCTCATCTCCACCTGGTGCAGGCCAGCTGCTTGCTAGACACTGTGCATAAGGCATTTCAAATCCACCAGCAACCTTGCCAGGTAGATGCTGTGTGCCTTCCTTATAAGTGCAGAAACAGGCTCAGAACGGGGAAGGCCAGAGGCGCACAGCTAGCGTGAGTGGCGGAAGAGGCTTTGAACTCAGTCCTGTCAGGCTCCGGAATTGAGCTTTCTTTGGCTACATGCACTGGCTGTGCCTGAGACCCCTGCAGGCTTTTGAGGGCAGGGCCGTGTGGAATTCCTGTTTTTAACCCTTAAGCCCAAACCTTTGCCAAGGCCTTTCCATAACTCTTAGATGGCACGTACTGGCGAAGTGTGCCAGGTGCTGGGCTAAATGCTTTACGTGTACCGCACCCCCACAGGTGGGTACCTTTATTACCTCCACTTCCCAGAAGGGGGAACTGAGGCACACGTAACAGGCACCAAGTCTTACAGTTAGTAAGTGGCAGAGCCAGGGCCCATGCCAGCTGGCTTCCGAGTCTGAGCTTGTGCTTGTGACCACTTCTTTACAGACATTTTGAGCACAAGCACTCCTTCCCGTCACACCTGGGTGAGCCGCCGCCCCCCATACCAATGGCACCTTATCTTTTGTGGGTGGGGCTCACTTGAGCCTCTGTTAATTGATGAGCTCCTCAGTGGAGGGCAGGGCTGCGCGCATTCACTTCTGTCCTTGCAAGTTTCTGACCCCTGAACAGAAGCCTGTCTCTGGAGGGTGGGTGCCTGCCACACCTCCCCTGGGCCCTGGTCACCTCTGGGTCCAGGGCCTCTCTCTGTGGGGGTCAGGTGTGGACACAAGCCCCCTTTCTGGCAGGCCCAGTCACCTCAGGGTGAGTGCAGCAGGCCCCCAGCCCTGGGTCTCCCCTTCATTCCATCTCATCACTCCCCCATGGGCAGGGCTGCCCTGGAGCCAGTTTCTACTGCACAGGAGAGCTGAAGGTGAAACTTCCAGGAAATTTACAAGCTGCCTGCTGAACTCAGCTAATGTTCAAAATTAAATTATACAAACTTACAATTTAATAAATTAGAGTAAAAGTGAAGATAATAAGTACTTCAAAGGGATCGCCTCCATGATGTTGCTCCATTTTCATCATTTATGCTCACAAGATTACTTCCATCTATGGTACCTGTATGGTGGAAATGCCACATAGTGGTGGGATACTGAGCTTGTCTTCCCAGTTCTCCTGTTCAGTGACATTACGGTGGTAGTTTGAAAGCAGCCGTGATGGGAGTTTTAATACCCCAGAAATTGGCAAATGTTACAAATCAGGACTCCCCGCACCCCTTCCCAGCCCCACGGGCTCCTCCCCAGAGATTCAACTGTTAAGCCTTAAAGCCAGTTGTGGCAAATGGGCTGTGTCTGGAATAGGAAGGGCTGGCTCACTGCCGTTTTTTTAATCAGGCTCTGCCTCCACCAGTTGTGAGGCCCGAGTGATTTGTCCTTGGCCTCACCTTTTCCATGTGCAAAATAAGGCTGAGACGAGCGTTAAAACCTCGCTTAAAAACTGAGTGTTAACGGGCCGGCCGAGTGGCACATTGGTTAAGAGTTGGCTTGGGACGCCAGCTCTGAGCAGCAGGGCCCTAGTTCAGATCCCACATGTGGGCCAGTGATGCTGCACCCTCTACAGCTGGTGAACAACAGCTCTACCTGGAGCTGGGCTGCTGTGAGTCGCCGGCAACGTCGCTGGCAACATCGTAGGCTGCAGTGGGACTGGCTGGCGACTGGCTGGCGACTGGCTGGCGGCTGGCTGGCGGCTGGCGTGAGCTTTCGTGAGCTGCCTTTAGCCACTGTGAGTGGCTGTCCAATGGCCAGCAACCGATCTGCCTCACCTGAGAAGAGCGCAATGATAATACCAACATGGGCCAGTGAAGCAATGTCCTCCACAACTAGACTGAAAAACAAAAGGACAGCAACTTGTCTGTTCCCCTCCCCCAATTCCCCAATAAAATCTTTAAAAAAAAAACAAACTGAGAGTTAACTATCTGTCAGGTGCTGAGTCCTGGCTCTCAGGAAATCTGCTTACAAGGCAGATCCAGTTACAGCCCTCAGCGAAGATGAGGAAATGGGGGCGTTGAGAGGATAAGTACCTCATCAAAGGTGACAGATCCGGTTTGAACCACACTCACCACTGCTGTGGTTTATTGGCCCTGTAATAACAGTCCCCAGCTTGCAGGGTGGTTTGGGGGATGATTATATGAGGAAATGTGTGTAGAAGAGCTTGGCACAGATATGGGCTCTAGAAGAACACAGTAAACACTAATTTATCGAGAGGCTGAGAGTAGGGTCTGGACCCACCCACGTCTGAATAGCAATTTTATTCTCTGATTGCAAGATCTCTGGCCACTTTGCTTGTCTAAACCTCATTTTCCCAGAGTGAAAAAGGGATGATAATAGCTACCTGTAAGAGCGACTAAGAGGACTGGAGACACAGGATGCAAAGCGAGAAGTGGGTACTCAATAAGTGGGAGCGACTGTTCAGGATTATCTCTTATTTCCTGTCACTTAGACAGCCACTCTGCCAGGCCCTGTCAGGGGGAGGCTAGCTGTAGGGGCCAGAGCCAAGAAGGCAGGACCTTGCCTGGACAGCTCCTGGCACCTCCTCCCAGCCAGGTCAGCTCCTCAGTGGGCCCTGGCCCTAGAAGGGCTTCAGAGGCGGGACACTGTTGCTAGGCACCAGTTGCTAGGCAACACACTGTTTCTCCAGGCCTGGCCACCTCCCCAAGGGCCCAGGCTTCTCTGGAGCAGCTCCTGCCTCCTGAAGCTTTTCGCAGACCTCAGAGCCACTGAGGGCAGGTGAGGGTGGGGCCAGCTGTGGTTGGGCCCTGGGGAGAGCAGAGCCAACTTCTAGCAGCAGGTGGGCAAGGCTGAGGGAGCAGAGGGAGAGGCAAGGAGCATGGGACGTCCAGCTAGGGTAGCCAAGGATTCCTGACTGGCTGGAGGTTGTCAGGCCATCAGTCCCCAGAGGAGGGAATGTAGGGTTAAGATCAGGGGCTGAGGAGTCGAGGAGTCAGGTAGCTTGGGCCTGAATCCCGGCTCTACCACTTATTATGAGCTAATAATTCTTCATCCCTCGGAACCTCAGTTTCCTGGCTGTAAAACGGGGCATTCATAATAAGGTGTGGGGAAGGTGAAATGAGACACAGTGTACCTGAGATAAGTATTGACAAGTGTGGGTGTCGGTGGAGAGGGACAGGCCTGGGGGGATGGGCGGCTGGGTGCGGTGTGATCACCACCTTTGTGGTCTGCACAGCCTGGGCCTGGGGCCAGCTTGGGGCCCTTGGGCTGCTGGACTGATAAGGCTCTTCGTGCTTCCGCCCTAGGTCCCCCTGGGGCCCTGCCCCACAGCGTCATGATGGGGAAACTGCCCTTGGGGGTTGTGTCCCCTTATGTGAAGATGAGTTCGGGGGGCTGCACAGACCCCCGAAAATTCTACGCCACCAGCTATTGCACAGCCTATGGTGAGGACACCTTTGTGTAGGAGTCACCCCCAGGACACGGGGCAGGACAGGGCAGGCCCTCCCGCTGGGAGAAGAGCAGCCCTTCTGGCCCATCACAAACTCAGAGCAGCCCCAGTATCCTGAACTGACCAGTCTAATGAGCCCAAGACTCTGTCCACGTCTGTACTGTTGGACTAGGTCCACCCTGCCGTCCCTTCCCCTGAATCCATCCTGTGATCATGCCACACTGACCTAGTCCCTGTCCCATCGACTCCATTCCTTCTGCCACAGTTCAGGAAGGCCAGCCTCGCAAGCCTCCCAGCACGCCTTTTCCTGCCCCCCCCCCCACTCTGTGCCGTCTCCATCACAGGAACCCTGGGGCCCTAGGCAGATGCTGACCCTGCCTGGGAAGCCCCGCCCACTGCTCACCCACTTTGCTCCCACGCTGCTGACCTGCCTTCCTGTCTCCCTCCTTCCCCTCTGGCAGGCCGGGAGGACTTCAAACCCCGCATAGGCAGTCACAAAGGCACCGGCTACAAATCAAATTTCCGGCCTGTGGTCTCAAACCAAACCAGTCTCGGTGCTCTGGACTACCCAGCCATGGGGTACGGTCTGCATACTCTCTTCTTACCTCCTGCCCAGCTGGGTCTTAGCTCTCATGGACATCCATGCATGGGGACCCCGAGGGTCTACGTCTGGGGTCTTGGGGGACTCAGGTCATGGTGCCCAGCCTGGGGCCCAAAGGCAGGTGAATTCCTGAAGCATCTGTGGGAGGTTTGAGGGAGGCCGAAAGCTTCTGGAAATAAGCATTGTAGGCCCTGGTGGTAATAGTTCCTCCCCTTGCTCCTCCCCTCAGGGAACAAGTCCAGGACAAGGTTCAGACAGTAACTGGTCAGAGTTACCGCCCTCTAGAGGTACCTGATGGCACACACCCACTGCCCTTGAACACGTACCACACCAGGTCTGGCTACTCTAGGGAGAAGGTCAATTCCACGACCCCCACCAAGGAGGTTAGTGCTGGGCCCGGGGCCAGCAAAGAGCGGGGAGCCCTAGGCTGGGGTAGAGGAAGGACTGGGGTAGAAAGAGTGGGGATTCCTCCAGCAGGGTGGGACTGACCTGCCAAGAGTTGGTCAAGGCTGAGATGCCTGGGTGTGAAGGAGCCACAGTGTGGGCTGGGGCGTCCACTCACCTTTATCGCCTTTGTCCTCATCCCTACCCCCACCGTCACCTCCCCCTCCATTTCTATCCCCAACCCTATCACTATCATCATCTCCACCAACCCCATCCCCTTCTCCATCCCCATCTCTACCCTTACCAGCGTCCCCGCTATCACCACCATTCCCACCTCCATCCCCACCATCACCTCCCCCTCCATTTCCATCCCTATCCCCATCTCTGGTTTCATTCCCTCCCCATCCTAACCCCAACCCCATCCCGGTCCCCATGATCTCCACCGCCCCATCTGCATCTCGAAGCCCACATCACCCTCCTCACTGTCATTGTCACATCACTTTTGTCATGATCATCCCCATCTTCTTCATTTCTATCACTGTTATGACCATAATTATTGTCATCATCACCACCACCAGAGGAGATATTCATTCATTCATTCATTCATTCACTCACGTATTCATTCAACTGATGTTCTGAACATCTCTTCTGTATTTGAAGGTGATAAGTGCTGGGGGGAACTACAATAAGGAAGAGGCAGGTGGTGAAGCAGAAGTGAAGGGGCTGCAACTGCAAATCAGGGGTTTAGAAAAGCTTGCTATGGAGACTTTAGACAAAGATTTGAGGGAGGTTAGTGTGTTCCAGGCCATTCCAGGCCATGCAGACAAAAAGTGCAAAGGCCCTGAGGCAGGGGGCGGTGATGGTGATGGTGTCTGACGTGAGGAGGGACAGCAAGGAGGCAGGCGCTGGAGAGGAGTGAGGGTCCGAGGACCTTGTGGGCCGCTGTCAGGACATGGGATTCTACTCCGACTGAGATATGAATACTGCAGGGCTCTGAGCAAAGGAGGAACGTGACCCAACCTCACTGTAAAGGGACCCCCTCAGGCTACTGTGCAGATACTCTGTAGGGGTCAAGGGCAAAATCAGATTCAGGAAGTGACTGCCGTCCCCTCATCAGGAGGGTAATTGGTCTGTTCCTCCTCCCAGGTCAGGAAGGTCCATTTTGACACCCAGGACTACGGGCCCCAGGCCATCACAGGGCTGGAGCCCAAGCATGTGCCCCTGCTCCACCAGGAGCAGAACAAGGGCTCGCTGGAGTGGGAGAACAACCGATATGTGAGTGGGCCGCGTCCCGAAAAGGGCTGTGGGCTGGGCAGAGGGGCCAGACCCATCTCCTTCGCTCCCCTCTGCACTGACTCACCCAAGAAGCCCACAGGATGTGGGCTCAGGACACCAGAAAAACTGGGGCGAGCAAAGGATTTGATAGCATCGAACTGCTCCTGACGCGTATCTTAGGATTTACGCTGAGCCCCTTTCTCTTCCCTACCCCATCCAGACACCCTGAACCTGGGCACTGAATTGTGAAATGAACACCCAGGTTCTCCCATCAGTCTCTCTCCTTTCTTTGGGGCCCTCCTGGTGTGGGTCCTGGGGGCTCCAGGCCCCGTTGCTCATTACTAGGAATCCAGTGTGGAATGTGACTTGGCTTTCACTGTTGCAGGGGAACTGTGCTCTCGTGACAGAATTCCTGGCATTGGGATGCCCAGCCAGAGAGGGATTTGTATCAGGGGTGCCACACTGGTCCTCCCTTCTCAGACCATACCACACAGGTCTTCTCAGAGCACAGATAGCACGAAGAGCCTCCTTCCAGGCCCTGGCCTACCTGTGTCCCCCACTGTTCCACCCTCTGTGTTCCAGGGCCCGCGCTTCATGACTTCCGAGTATAATTCCAAGTATCTCAAGGAGCCTTCAAACCAGCCAGGTGGGTGCTTGTCTGAGCTCCTGTCTCCCTCCCATGTTACCTCCCTACCCCCAACCCCTGGAGAGACCCCCGGAGGATCAGAGCTGGCACAGCACTAGGAAGGCACCAGAGGAGGAAAGAAGGACGTGCAGGCGGTGTGGGGGAGCCATTTTCCTGGGCTGACCTCTGCCTGAGGCCTGCTGACCCCCGAAGGACAGCTCCCTGGCCTTGCAGGCCTCCTTGAGCCCGACCACGGCTGCCTCCTGGCCTGTCCTCCCTGCCCTTCCTTCTGCTTCTCTCTTGTTCTCTACCCTGGATTCTGGAGCTCTCCTGGTACCCGCAGTCCTGGTGGCTCAGGCCTCCAGCTCCTTAGAGCCATCTCCCTCCCTATCACGGGGACCCTGAGCCTCTGGAGGCCACGAGGGTGGGCCCCGGGGGCCCTGGGGCCAGCACAAGGGGGCTGTCTTTTACAGATCTCTTGCAGAAGAAATCAATTGGTGCCAAGGAGGACACAGGCTTCACCAAGGAATCCACCAAGAACCCCATGGTCTTCCAGCCGCCCTCTCAGGCGCCCCCTGGGAACCCAGTAAGTCAGGTTGGATCTCGCTAGAATCTCAGGATGATCGAAGCCCTCCAGTCTGGGGATTCTTAACTTTTTTTAAACATGTGAGCTTCAGAACCATTTGTTCAAACACGAGATGAAAGAGGTTGGGTGAAAACCATTACTTTGGTCCAACTTTCCCATTTTATGGACGAGAAGTCCGAGGTTCAAAGAGAAGCAGCCTAGCTGAGGCCACTCAGCACTCCGACAGGGCCATGCCTGCTGGAGCCCATTCTGTGTCACGCCCTCCCTTCCCTTCCCAAACGCTTCCCTTCCTTCAGTCACCCCAACTATAGCCCTTTGTGCTGAACCCCGCTCAGCGCTCAAGACAAGGGGACAGCTGCCTCTGTCAGACTGATGCTCTTCTGCCGGTCTCTTTCCAGGTCCTCTTTCCCGGCCGGAGTGTCACCAAGTCGGACTTTGTCCCCATGACCCACCCTCATGTAAGCTGAGCCTGGGGAGGGATGCCTGTCCCCACAGTCTGGGGTCCTCTGGAAGGCACAGCAGGGGCAGCCGTGCTCTGGTGTCAGTGGCCACTTTGCTGCCACAGGGGGACGAGCTCCTGCCAGGGCTGGCCCGAGGCTCTGAGAGGGAGACAGGCTTCAGCCGAGTGAATGAGAGGACTCTGAACCCCAGAGTGAGTGGCCTTGGGGTTCCCTCTGAAAAGGGACACAGAGAGGAGGAGACGGAGGTGTCTTGGGCTTGGGTTGGGCCCTGAAGAACGGAAAGACTCAGGATATTTGCCCCCCCCCCACCGGTGGAGGGGTGAGGCCCAGGGGCTGGGAAGGGAGGGGTGTGTCGGAAACAGTGAATTTGGGTTGTGGCTGCGTGTGCCTCTGCCTGCCTTTCCTCCGCCTGTGCTGCCTCAGCCTGGCCACCCAGCCACGCTTCTTGTGGCTCTGTCCCCTGCAGGTGTCCACTCCCGGTCCGGAACTAAGCAGCATGAGCCACTGGCAATTCCAGCCGCCCCAGCGGGTACAGCAGACAAATGTTGCCCTCCTTGGCCGGGAGACTGTGGGGAACAAGGTGAGGCCTGGGGTACCCAACCCTACCCCAACTCCCTACCCACTCCTGACCTGACGGGCCCCCTCTATCCCTCTCGTGCAGGAGCCCACAGGGTACAGCCTTAACAACCCTAGCTATGTCCGGAGCCCCTCTGACCCTGACACGGATAATCGATACCTCACCACCTACAACCAAGGGTGAGCCCCTTCCTGCCCAAATCTGAGGTTGGGAAGTGGCACCCCTTTTACAGATGGGGAGACTAAGACCGGGACAAGTAATGAGCTCATAGCCTTGGAAAGAAGACGAACATTGAATTAATGTGGGTCCCCTAACGTGGACCCTGAGCCAAGGATTTGAGTGCAAGCCCTTTATTGGGGGAGTCAGGGGCTGGGGAGAGGGGAGGCATGGGTGTGTTATTAAGCCAGATATCCCATGGGGGAGACTCGAGAAAGCAGTGCAAACACAAAAATTCAGAATTATTCTATTATTCCAGGCAAGGGGCAAGAGAGCTGAGGTGTTCTTACCCCCACATCCCTCGGTCATTGGTTAAGGGCTGTCCCCAGGGCAGTATAAATCCCAGGTACCTCCTTGCCCCGGCAGAGCAGGCTCCCGCAGCCCAAGGCAGCCTTCCCACATAGATGCAGGGCAGGGCATTGGTGGCCAGGCCTGTGGGGTCAGGGGAAGAATAAGGGGGCCCAAGAAAATCTTGGGGAGCAACAACAGCATCTGCTAAGACACTACTTCTAGTCCATGGCAGGCGGACTGCATGCACCCTCAGAAGGTAAGCCCTGTGTGTGCCCTGGGCAAGGAGTAAGTGCCCTGGTCATCAGGGAGGACTTCAAGGAAGAAGTGGCCTTAGAGCCATGGGGAAGGGTCCTGGGGCCAGGACCAGATGGGGAGAGCATTACAGGGGTGGGATAAAGGAGGTGTAATTCTTGGGACAAAAGTCATAGAATCTGTCATGTGTGTGTCATCTGAGTCCACACTGCCCCTGCAAGGAGGCCTCCCAAGGTGCCCACCCTGTCCTTGGGGCTAACCCCCCTCTTTCAGATGGGGGCCATGAGGCTCAGCGGGAGAAATGGTACCTGAGCCGCACAGCAGATCCCTGACACGTGTAGCTGCTCTGGTTCCCATGGACGGCAAGGGGGAGTGGCAGAAATCATTCTGGGCATTGTTGGGGGGACAGCTGTGTCCCTGCGCCTCCTGTGGCTCCAGCAGGCCCCCACTCCCTGCCATCTCTGCTGGGTCCATCCCCCACCCACCCATCAGTGGGTGGCATTTCCTGAGCCCCTGCCTGGTGTGCCCAGAGCCCCCAGGGGTTGTAAGAGCTGATTTCTGCATTCATCTGTGCGCACCCCCTCTTCACAAGCCCAAGGGTGGGCCCACATCTTACTCATCTCGGCACCTTCAGAACCTGGCCCCGTGAGTGCTCAGTGAATACTGGCAAAATGGAAGAAGAGTTGAATGCCTAGAGCGAGAAGGCTGAGATGAGGTCCCGCCCTCCACCTGAGAGGTCCACAGGCCAGGGAGGGAGCACCACTTAACCTGTCCTTTACTGTCCTAGTGCTGTCTCAGCAGCAGGGAGTGGCACGAAGGAGGGGCGTCCTGCTCAGGGGCAGAGGAGGGCAGGTTTCCCGAGTGGGCGTTCACCGAGTGGACAGGCTAGGGGAGTGTGTGGCAGAGGCCAGCGTGGGCAAAGGCTGGAGGGGCCTGAGTTAGTTTGTGCTCTGCTGGAGCCAAGACTCCTGTTGGAGAAGGGCACAGGCCAGCTTGCCTCCACAACCCCTCCTGTGCCGCAGGTACTTCGAGAACATTCCCAAGGGTCTGGACCGGGAAGGCTGGACTCGAGGTGGCATCCAGCCCCAGAAGCCCGGAGGCTACACCCTCAACCAGCCTGTCACCCGCATGGAGGCCACCCCCAACCCCACGGAGAGCCTGAGGCACCTGCACCCCCACGTGGGAAGGTGGCATGCCCTCGCTCCGCTCTGTCCTTGGCCGGGTCCAGGCCTTTCCCCAGCCTCTCCTCCGTCCCTCCACCTGTCTGTCCTTCTGAGAGGCCCGCTTCCTCTCTCTGACTTGCTCCTTGCTTCTCCTGCCCACAGGGGCTCCTCCCCTCACCCCCGCAGCGACCAGGGGCCAGCTCCCAGCTCCGCACCTTCTCCCTGCCAGGCTGCATGCAGAGGGCGGGGGCACAAAACTGAATGACTGTGGTTCTGCCTCACTCTGACATCTTTCTGTTCAACTCAGTTCCTCGAAAATTACATTTATACCGACAATGGCCCCAAGTTGGCAGGCAAAGACTGTCTGTGGCTTGGCGGCCCTGGCTGAGTGCTGGCCCCTCGGGAGGGGCAGGCAGAACAAACAGCCTCGTTGCTCTGCCCTCCCACTCCCAGTCTCACCCCTTCCTCCCTGCAGGACCCTGATCTCAGAGGACCCCTTCTACCGCACTCCACCTCACAGCAGCCGCTTCAATCCACTTAACGGAGTCTAAGGCCTGGGTAAGGGCTAGGGGACCCCCAACCACAGCTGCTCCCCGTGTAGGGGTGGCTATTGTGGGCCAGCCCCACCTCCCAAGCCCCAGATCAAGGAAGCCCTGCCTGGGGACCCTAGCCCCAGAGTTGGGGGGTGGGCAATCAGGGCCCTCTCAAGGGTGGGTGAGTGCACAGAATCACCCAGAGCCCCTCAGGCCTTGTCTCCATTCCCCACAGGTTTGTCAACTCAAACGGACAAGAGCTGGATGCTGTGCCTGTTTCCACCCCGCTGCCCACTGGGACTCCCCTGGCTACTTTCCTATTGAAATAAAGAGCAGTGAAGCAGAGCACTGTGTCTGTCACTGTCATGGGTGGCTGGGAAAAGGAGGGGTGAGGGCGGGGAAGGGATGCAGGGGTGGAGGGGTGAGGGCCAGGTGTGGAGTCAGGGAGGCCCAGTTGGACTCATGGTGACACTATGGACAAGGCACTTCACTCTTAAGACTTAGTTTCCTCTCCTGTTAAGGGGTCTCCTACGACCTGTGCTAAGTGCTCGGTCAAGTGTGGAAAGGAAGAGAGGGAGACAGGAGTGGGCGGGGGTGGGTTGAGAGGCCTCAGATACCTGGTTTATAAGATGGGGCAGGACATCAGGGCCCTTCTGGGTCCCACATTGGGTGGTTTAAAGAAGAGGGGAGGGCGGGGCGGGGGGAGTCCCAGAGATCTCGCTCCAGAGACAGACGGAGGAGGGTCCACGATGGATGGCTACCTGGACACCAACACCAGGAGGGTTGGGGGCCGGACGAAAGGCTGGTGCCTCAGGGCGGCCACTTTGTGAGAATTAGAACGAGGCACTGGTAGGCAGACGCCCATGTGAGCACAGGACCTACAGAGCAAATGTCTTGTGGGAAGAGAAAGGCATCCTTCCTCCAAGCGCTGCACCTGACACCAGGGTCCTCTGCCTGCAAGGCAGAATCTGGGCTGCCTCTCAGCACCTTCTGTCACCTGCTGTGGCCCTGCTGGCACTAGCCCCTTATTTTATGGAGAGGGTGCATGAGCTGCTCAAGGTCACATAGCACAGAAAGGCAGCAGCGGCACTGGACTGAGGATGTCCCCCACACCTTGCAGCCCAGCCCAGCATGCGAAGAGGTGACTCAGTGGTCCAGCAACTGTCCCCGCTCACCCCCCGCCCCTAAGTGGGTGTCTGGTTAGTGGCTCTGCTGGCCCTGGGCCTGGCTGTACCCAGCAGTCTTGACTAGCAGGTCTGGGAGCTATCCGTGGCCTGGCTGGGGCTCCACGTGGGATGTGGGAGGTTCCAGCTGGCTCCAGTGCTGGAGGAGGGGAATAAGGGACACAGAGTCTCTCGGCCACAAACCCAGCCAGACTCAGGACCCAGTGACAGCCCCTCGGACGGGGGGTGGGGCCTGCTGGTCTATCACCCTCCACATTAGGGGGCAGTCACCAAACTAGAGATTTGCCACCTGGGCTGGCCATAGTGAGGTGGGGCGAGGGTCAGCTCACACCTCCCACCCACAGTCACACACTCACCAAAGCACAAACAAATACAAGACGCACACAGACCCCTGAAGACATGCACATACAAACACATACAGACACATAAATGCCAGCAGACAAGTACACATAGACTCACTAACAACCACACGGAGAAACATATGGAAACATAAAACAAACATGGACACAGTTCTTCACGTAAACACCCGAGGTTCTTTTACATGCAGACACATACACACACATATGCAAACCGACTGACACATCAACACGCATAGAAACAGAGAGATAAAAACAGATGGACAGAGACTTACAGGACAGACCACAGACACACACACCCCCCATTCTACTTTTCCATTTCCTCCCCACCAGGGTCCTCTTACAGCTCATGTTTCCTGCTCACCCTCCTTTTCTCTGGCTCAATAGAAGATACAGTGTCAGGGACACTACAGCCTGATTACACCCTTTTTCCACTACCTCCCCCTCTCCCATTATCCTGCACCCCGCTTCTAGGTCAAATGAGCTGGGGTGGCTTCACCACATCTCCTGAGCTGAGCTGCGGACCCCACCCAAGGGGAAGGGGCCAAGCAGCACCTCTGTGTTCCCTTAGCCCCTGTTTTCTCCTTTTTGGTCTCTCTCCAGGCAACCCATCCTGGCCTCCCCGTTTGGGTCCTCCCTGTGTGAGGACAGGGAGGCCCAGGGCTCAGGGTGGTAGGAAGGGGGTCTGGGAGGGGTCAACACCAAACCTGGGTGGTTCTGGAGTCCCTGCCTGGTGCAGGGCCTGGATGGCCCATCTCCCAGATGAAGAGACAGACGTGGAAAGGTGGAGCGACTCGCCCTAGGTCACCCAGCCAGTGAGGACTATGGGTGGGGTCCTGCTGGCGAGATGTGGAGAGGGAGCCCGGAGTGGCAGCAGCCTGGTGGGAGCGCGAGTACCCCCTAGTTTCCATCAGCTTCCTGACTGTTGCCTACCCACCGAGTTACTCCAGGGCAGGCCCCATGGGGGAGGGGAGGTGCGACAGACTTTGAATTAAATGGGAGAATGACCAGTTTGAGGCACTGAGGGAGGCGAGGTTGTGGGCAAGGACACAGAGGAGCGACCAGCCCAAGGCTTGGTCAGAGAAAGGGGCGGACAGGGAGTGCAGCTGAGAGCGGGCAGCTCCTTGTGGAAGGCGAGTTGGCCAGGTTTTCATGCTGAAGAAACCTTTCTCTGCCCCGCTCCTTGATTATGAAACTCAGCAGGGTCACAGACCATGTTCACAGCTGAAACTCCAAAGTCCAGAACAGTGCCTGGCACATGTGTAGGTCCTCAGTAAATATGAGCTGAATGAATGAATGCATGAATGAACGAACTGCGCCTGCCAGCAGGGGCACCAGATGTGGGCTTCTGGGAGTCGCCTGCCCTGGCCCCAGGATGGCAGTGAACCAGGCTCCCTGCATCTGTGCAGGCTGGCAGCTAAGACCCTGCTATGCCCCACCACCCTTGCCTGGAAGCCACAGCTGTGGCCCCTTGGGACCACCCTGATTTGCCCAAAGGCTACCCTGTCTCTCTCTGCATGTGCTCCCCTCACAGTGTGCCCAGCTTTTGACCAACCCCAACCAATCTCCCCTACAGTGTCCTGAGGGCCTCACTTTCCAACCTTGACCCCTGGTTGGCCCCAAGGCCAGGGTAGGGTCAGTGCTCCGCAGTCCTCTCTGCATTGCCAGGCAGGAGGGATGGACACTTCTCACTTTGTGGCTACTCAGGTTACTGAAACTCTGCCAAAAGGGCTGGCCTTTGCTGTCACTCTCGCTCTGTGCGATTATCAGGTGAGTGTGGACGCTGACAATGTGCCTTCATTGTCAGGATACCTGTCCCCTCAACCCTCTGAGAATTGAGTCTTCAGTCTGGTCCCAGTCAGCATCAGCCCGGCATTCTTTCCTCACCCGAGCCCAGGCTGTCAGCAGAGTGGAGCTATGCAGGCCTGAGCTCTAGAGCCAGACAGCCTGGCTTTGAATCCCAATTCTCCACACCTGGAGGCTGCCTCCCACTACCAGCTGTGGAGATCATCTGAGTATTCTGAGCTGAAGCTATTAATAAGAGCAGTACCCACCTTGTGGGCTAAATTAGATGGCATATAAAGTGCTTGGCTCACAAATAGTAGCTGCCTTGATGCTGGAACAGAGACCTAGTTAGGAGCAGGGATTTGGGCAAGTCCACACTGCAGACAGTTGCAGGGGCTGGCGTTTGTCTCCCCTGCTCGGCCCCGGACCCTTCTCTGGGAGCAGGCCCCCTCTTGTCCGGGAGAGCCTGTGGGGGCGATTCAACTGTACCGCCTTACCTGGAGGCCTAGGCTGCCTCTCAAGGGGGCCAGGCCCCATACCCTGTCCCTGAGGCCAACTTCTGCCTGGCTCTCCTGGAAGCTGCCTGTCTCTCGCCTCACCTGCAAACCAGGCTTTGGGCGTTCAGGCGAGTCACTCCTTCCAGCGGGTGCCAATGGTAGCTGCTGACAAAAGTTTCCTGCCCCTCCCCACAGATATTTTAGAAACCAATTCTGAGGTGTACAATGATGATGATTAACCTTTATTAAACCCCCACAGCCCGCCGGCTGCTGGGAATTTTCCGTGGGCCTTCAGCTTTTCAGTAAGAACACAAGGGGCCTCCCTCTGGGGGAAGTTTGGGGACACAGGTGGGTGCTGCGCTGACGGCATTGATGTGGGGGTGAGCCCCGAGGGCTGATGGGACAGCAGAACAGGAACAGATGTTGGGTGCCACACGATCGGGCCTCTCTTCTGACGCACGCAGGCATGTGTGAGGCTACTGCCCGCCATGGCACTATGGCAGCTGATGTTGACAGGCACCATCTGGCCTAGGTCACGCGGTGCATTCGGAGCCACCAGCTCATGGGCTTGACAGCGAGCCAGCTGGGAAAAGGCATCTGTCCGTGGGAACTGGAGGCCGGGGGTGGGGGTGGCGAGAAGCCCAGCGTGGGGAGGCTACATGTAGACAGATGGAGGGCCCGAAATTCGGAATCCGATCCCTAGTTTCCTCTCTGACCATCTGGGGGGCCACCCATTCCCAAGGAAATGTTCCCCGAACAGCCAAATATGCAAGGACAGAGGAGGAATCAGGCCCGGGAAACCGCCACCCAGGGCCTCTGTTCAAGGTCAGAGGAAGGTCTGTTGGGGCCTCCCAGGCATCCCAATAATCCTTGCTTCTCAAGACACTACTAGAGACAGGGCTCTACCAGTAAAGTTCTTTGAGTGGTAACGTAACGCTTGACCCTGGAAGGACCTTCGTGAGAACCAGGTCAATCTGAGTCAGAGAGATGGAGCAAACTCCCCAAGCCACCGGCTTAGTTCACTCATGCTTGGGCCTCTCTGCTCTGAGTACAGGCCTTTCCCATCGCATCACTGAACTGGGGCCTCTGGTGGGCAGAAGGGGCTTCTTTTCTCTTGCTGAAGGAAACATATGTGAATGTGAGCGTGTGCGTGTGTGTGCATGTGTGTGTGCGCGTGCGTGTCTTCAGAGGTCCCAGGTAAAGAGACCAGCCAGAAGGGCGTCTGTCTCGCTCGCCGTATCCTAAGAGAGAAACGTTGGGCGAGATGCTGAAGAACTCTGTTCAGAAAGCCTTTATGAGGCTGTGGGCCCAAGCAGCCTCCCTGTGCGCCCCATGACAAGGAGTGGTCCCTGCCCCTCCAGGTCCCTATGGTAAGAGCCTTGCAGCAGAGCTGCATTCTCCTGGTGGGTCCTGGCACCAGGGGCAGGAAGCAGGCGTTGAAGAGCATGGGTAAACTTATTTTGAGTACATATGGGGCATCTGGCAGTGTGAGGACTCCTGGGTATGACAGTGAAGGCTCTGGG